CCTGTGATCGAGAGCACGGAATTTTGGGTTCCAGGGAGAATGGGAGATGTTGTTGGAATAGAGATTCAGCCTTCACCTCGGATGCCGTTCTCCTTTTCAACGCCAAAACCACCCCAACGTGAAAAAGGGGTGCGTGAGTGTCAAGCTATCTAAATGCTAGCCTGCGGAACGCGGTGGTTCGTGCGGATAGCACGAATCACGCGTGAAAACGTGACACTTTATAAAGTGACGCTTGAACGCACGCCATCGTTTTAGTTGTTTCAACTTTCATATTTCAATGTGTCGCTTAAGATACCATATTTGTTTCGCGCTCCTCCCTTCGTGGGCGATTCGCCCTCGCGGTCGTCTCGCACCTCCTTCCGCGCTCCTAACTAACTAAACTTGTCGAGCAAGAAACGCTATTGCAGAGTTAAAAACTTCTTCTCGACTTTGTGTCCGCCCGCCGCTCTTTAGAGAATGTTATTATTTATTTCTTCACAGAATCGAGATGAAGCCCCGAAGCTTAAATTTTCAATCCAGTATCACCAAGCTAGGTAAGACGTCTTTTTGACTTAACGTGCTTGAATAATTGCGCACGGGTGTTTCTCTTTCGCGCGTGCGTGTTTCTCGTGCCCTTGCTGAGCGCCTGCTTTGTGCAGGCTGAAGAGAGAGCTTTTCAGCTAGCGATGTTTGTTCATCCGAAGGAGTCATTTTCCTCTCGCTTTCAAATCTACAATTTACAATTTACGATACGGCTTTTTCCCAACGCATGATAATGACAAAGGTTTTTAATTTTATATAGTGGTTTCCTGGAAGTTCAGCTTATTGACATTCAGAACATATCTGAGGGCAGTAGCCTTGACGAAGACGACGACGAGTTTTACGACTCAATCTTCACGTTCGCCGACGTTCAACTCACTCAGCAGGTGAGAAAGTAACAATGAAACTGGGAGGTCCCCTCTAAAAGAGGTTTGATATGTAAAAACGAACAACAAACAGCGCACGGTTTTTTGGGGTCTCTTGAGCCCTCAGACTATTTTCAGCAGCTTTAATCGAAACCCTAAAACAGGGTGACTTTGGCGGCGTTCGACTCCCTAAGATATGCTACATTTTGCTCCCCAAACTTGTGTGACCATGAGATTGAGTTATAAATCAAGTCCCATCTTAGAAGCCAAGATGACGTATGATTGGTGATTGGCCATATGATTGGTTAATTTGTATCAGGTGGTGAAAAATCTAGAAGACTTATTACTGTGCCCCACAGTGCCCACGTATAAGACTTTATTGGTATCAAGGTATGCCAACACCGAGGTCAAAAAAGGCACGTGCAAATGATTAACTTTCGTTGGCTGCGCGTTAATATCCCGCGCAAAAACAAATGACGAATTTGCCAAAAATTTGGAAAAAATTAAGAAGTTCGAGGAATATTTTTAGAGGAAACCAAAATAAAGAGAGAAACATTTGAGACTTCTCGAAGGCAAAAATTTGTTATCACAGTAGCCAATAGCAACAAAGGTAAAGTCAACATAGACTTAAATTAAACAAAAAACGAACGAATTGACCGAAGCGCGGGAAATTTGAATGGCCAATATGCGATTGGTGCTAATTTGTCATGTGATCGGTTTAGAGGGTGGCGCAAGTTTTCTGAACCAATTACAGGGCGATGTGACGGAAAACTAATCCAATCCTGAATTACTTATGACACCCAATGAAAATTGTTAAATTTTCAAACTGTATCGCCTCAGGAAGAGACAAAGCAGAGAATGCGCCTGATGTCCCGTCGCCGGCGCCGACGTCACAAGTCTTTTGAAATCGAGATGAGCTACGAAGAGCTGCAGCTTCAGACCCTCCAGTTCTGTGTTATGGGATTTGACCGGTACTCAAGACAAAAGGTTATCGGCGATGTGTTATTACCACTTGCTGAACTTGCGCAGGAGGGTGTTGACATAACCAAGGAGCTTGTGATATGGAGGGATATACAAACGAGCCAACCGGTACTGAATAGAATCTGTAAAAGTTTTTATGATTCCTTCCTTAAAAAAAAAATTATAAAGCGGGGGATTGTGTCGGCTCGATTATGCTGCGCTTTCAAGTTGGGGAGTGCAGGCTCATTTCCTGAACAGCGGCTGCTTATTGAACCTGGTTCAGGAGTGGTAAAAGAAATTGTTGGTTCAGGCGTGGTAAAAGAAATCTGAACGCAAATAACAAAATTTCCTGATGAAAAATTCCAGTATTCATGAAAAGAAAAACCCATCAACCAATTCTGTAGGGGAAATAGAAATTTTCACATCAAATTTGGGCTTAACAAGCTCACCCCATCTACGAAATTCTTACCCTCTGGCAGTTCGTCCTCAACTGGCCTTTGAATCGATCGGTCGATACGTGCATCTAGATCTCGCCTTTT